CGGGTGCCAGGTCCCAGCTGTGCGGAGCTGGCCGGGGTGCTGACCTCAGTCTCCACCCGCACGAAGTGGGGGTAACAGTGCCCAGCACTCTGGACGTAGGGGCGCAGACGGCAGTGCTCCTCGAGCTCTTGCCCGGGTGCCTGGCGCTGGGGGGACGCTCAGATGAAAGTCATTACCATTTTGCATCTGTGGAGCCTTGGGGCCCGTGGAAAACAAGAGTAGCGTCGTGGAATAACTGCACTGCTCCCCGGGGCTTTGCGGGCATTGCCGGTGAGGAAGCACGGCAGGCGTGGCCCGAGTGTGACCTTGCACTGAAGTCTGGGGGTGAAGTCTGGCCCCCCATGCAGCCTCAAGCCATACCGTCCCTACCTTCCAGGTCTCCACTTAGGATTGTTCAACTTCCGGTGGTGTGAAAGCCATACACATTTGGTAGAAACTGTACTTCGGTTTATTTTTTTAAGATTTCATATTTATTTTTTCATTCACTCATTCATTTATCTTAGAGACAGAGAAGAGGGAGAGGGTGCATGGGAGCGGGGAGCGGGGCAGGGGGAGAGGGAGAGAGAGAATTTGAAGCAGGTTCCACACCCCACTTGGGGCCGGACACTGCGGGCGCTCTCACGACCCTAAGATCATGACCTGAGCTGAAACCGAGAGTTGGACACTTAACTGACTGGGCCACCCAGGTCCCCAAAAGTGTACTTCGATTTTAAATCCGGATCTTTCCCTGGGTGGGGAGAGGCGCTGGAACACCCCGTCCATAGGCGTGGAGGTGGCAGGTCACGTTCCCAGTCAGCCCCGCTGACAGGGGGGCCGACAACAGAGACTCTGACAACCATTGTGTCCCTGCAATCATGCTCTTACACCTTCATGACACTCTTCAATGAATTACAGTAGATGTTGGACTCTGGTATGTAACAGGCTTGCGTCGATGATTTTGCCCAACTCTGGGCTGCTGGGAGTGCTCTGAGGTCTAAGTGGGCCAGGCTAAGCGATGAGAGGGAGGAGGTGAGGTGTGTAGTCAATGCTCTCTTGACGTACAATTTTGTAACCCAGGATGGTTTTGTCGGTGCATAACTTCACCGGATGCCAAGGAAGATCTGTGTTGGCTTCCGGTTGTTGCCGAAAAACATCACCGCAACTTAGTGCTAAACCACCACATACCCATTCTCTTAGTATGCTGGAGTTTGAGAGCCTGAAATGAGTCTCATGGGGCTCAAGTCCAGATGTGAGCCGTGCTGGATCCTCCTGGAGCTTCTGAGGGAAAATCCTGTCCTTGCTTCTTTCAGCTTCAGGAGGCTGCGGCATTCCTTGGCTTGTGACCCCCTCACGTGGCCCCAACTTCTGCCTCCATCACCACTTTCCCCACTAGGGACGGACTGATCCGCTTCCTCTCAGAAGGACCCTGTGGTTACTCGCGCCCCACGCAGAACATCCAGTCTCGTGTCCCTGTGTCCAGGTCCTTGATGACATCTGTGTACCCCCTCTCTGCAGGGCAGTATTTGCAGGTTCCAGGGATTAGGGCGCGGACACGCGGGAGAGCCACCATGTGGATACTGATTCCTGTCCTGTACGCAGTACATGGTATCCCCAGTGCACACGCCCCAGACACAGACACACAGATGTGTGTGCACGAGGATGCATATGCATATCTATCTATCTATCTTAAAAGATTTATTTTCAGAAATGGACTCAGTGATCCAGGGGGTTGACGGGTCCCATGTTAGACAAGCCACCTGCAGCCTGGACACTCGGCAGTCGCGGGGCAGAGTTTCTTCTTCTCCAGGACACTGTTTTTGCTCTTCAGGCCTGCCGCCGATTGGATGAGCTGCACTCGCGTTAGGGACGGGAATGTCTCTTCCTCGCAGTCACCTGATCGTCCACATCCACGGAACATCTTCCCAGCGACACCTGGACTAGTGTTTGACTCCGTAACTGAGGACAGAGCCTCCCCAGGTGGACGCGTAAAGCTCACCATCCCCGCCGTGGACGTTCACGCTTTCCATCCTGTCTGGGGCCCCTTCAGCCACTGTGTCTGCCGCCTTGTTTTCCGCTCCTTTCTCTCTCTCTCTCCCCTCCTGATTCTTCCGTGGGCGTCGGGCTGGGGGCGATGGTGCCCCGCACGGCTCTGAGGCGCTGTTCCTTCTGCTGCTTTTCTTCCCATCCTCAGATCGCATCATCTCCGTCAACCTGTTTAACATCTCTGGTCCTTTCTTCAGCCGGTCAAAGGTACCCCTGACCCCTCTCGTGACTTGTTCACGGCAGCTGGCTTATCAACTCCAGAATTTCCATTCGGTTCTTTTTTACACTGACTCTCTCCTCGTTGGTGTGCTGTTGGAGCTGCTGTCGGTTCCCTTTAGTTCTTGAACACACCCAGAAGGGCTGCTTGGCCACCTTGCCTCCACCAGCCATCAGGCTGTCTCACCACGAGGGTCTTCCCCCCGCTTTACTGAGGGATAAAGGACAATAAAATGATATATTTAAGGGGGTACCATGTAATGATTTCATACACACAGATTTTGTGAAATGATGAGCACATCAAGCTAACTGATCACTTGGCACGGTTACTTCTGTTGTGTGTGTGGTGACGAGTAAGGGACAGGCGGGGCTAGATAGGGACAGAGCGATAGGGGGCTCTGTGATCAGGCTCACAGAAATCCCAAAAATGCAGAGGTGTGAGGAAACCAGAGATAAGGGAACACACCAGACCACCCCACCCTAGGTGTGCGAGGGGTGAGTCTTATTTATGACCGTCTCCTGGGGTCAACAGAAAATAACCAGACCCTAAGAAGAAGTAAACCATTAAAGATGTTACCACTAGTCCTTTACCAAGCGTGTTGTCAGTGGAGAAGTTAAAAAGATTTAAGTGGGGGCACCTGGGTGGCTCAGTCGGTTAAGTGTCTGCCTTTGGCTCAGGTCCTGGTCTGGGGGTCCTGAGATCGAGCCCCGCATCGGGCTCCCTGTTCAACGGGGAGCCTGCTTCTCCCTCTCCCTCTGCCTCTCCCCCTGCTTGGGCTCTCTCTCTCTCTCTCTCTCAAATAGATAAAATCCTAAAAAATAAAAAGATTTAAGTTCCCTGGTGAGCTTTCAATAAAAGGCCAACCCTAAAAGCCCTCAGTGTGGGGACCCCTCTCCCTCCGGAGAGCTTTTCTGTATCCTTCCTTAATAAAGCTCAATTGCTTTCCTCACTCTCCGTTGTCCGCGAGATTCATTCCTGGACTCCGTGAGACAAGAACCTCGCTCTTCCACTTTGGTGAGATTCCCCTCGGCAAATGCAAGTACGCAGCGCACTATTAACCGGAGTCACCAGGCTCACACTGGTTCCTCGGCACTTAGTCCGCTTGTAACTGAGCGTCTGAACCCTTTACCAACATCCCCCACCCCCATCACAGACAGTTTCTAGCACCAAGTCTTTGCTGAGTGTGGGTCACCTGGGCCCGGGGCTTCGCTTGCCTCGCCTTTCTTGGATGCACCTGGACATTTGAGGTAAACTGTTGCAGCAACTCTGGGTAGCGAGTCCTGCTCTTCCACCCCACCTCCCAGTGCTTTGGGTTGGTGTTTTCTCGACTCTTTCGTGACTTGCGTGGACGTGTGCAGTGAAGTTGACTTCCCGCAGGGAAAAACGTCTGCCGTCTCCCGCAGAGGGTCAGCTGTGTGCACGCTCCCTGTGACCCGGGGTGGGGGCGTCTAGCAGGACACTCTAGGACTGTCTCCTTCCCTCTTCCCTCTGTTAAGCTCTAGCCTCTGTGACTTCAAGCAAACGGTGAGCTCCACTAATGACCGGATAATGGCTCCGCGATTTCATCAAGGCCCTGGGGCAGAAGAGCTCCCCTGTTTGAACTTGCTGGATGTCTTTAGGGCAATTCCCAGAGTTTCCAACCAATGGTTTAAAAACCATTTTTCACCTGTTAGGAGTGTTTTGCTAGGGCGCCTGGGTGGCTCAGTCTCTAAACGTCTGCCTTCAGCTCAGGTCATGGTCCTGGCCGCCTGGGATCCAGCCCCGCATCAGGCTCCCTGCTCAGCGGGAAGCCTACTTCTCCCTCTCTCACTCCCCCTGCTTGTCTTCCCTCTCTCGCTGTCAAATAAATAAATAAAATCTTTTTTTTTTTTTAAAGGAGTGTTTCGCTGGGTGGGGTGGGGTGGGTGTGTAGTTCTCCTCCCAACACCATTCTGGAAAGGAATCCCTCCACCCGCTGTAATCTAGCATCCCGAAGAGGAAAACTTATTTAAAAAAGAAATGGTCAGTTAAAAAAAAAAAAAAGGAAAAAGGAAAACCAAGTATGGGTTACTTGCAGCAATAGCTCTTAAAGTTGGGAGGAGAAAAATTTCCTGTGCTCCTGTTTGCCCAAACATGACCAAGAATGCCGACGTGTTTTATTTCTAAGAAATGAGACAACAGCACTCCCAAATCTGTTGTGTTCTGGCCTGCACTTTCCAAAAGTCTAAGCACATGTTTATTTCTCTGTGTTTATTGACTAGGAGAGAATCTTGAATGGGAGGGCGGGTATGTTTATTCACACCGCTCTTCAGTACTTCCCTTAAATATAGTGAACGCCGTTGGATGGGGACACGTTCCCTCATTCACTTGGATCTCCAGTGCTTAGGCTATGGTAGTCAGGCTATGGTAAATGCATTATTGCATTTACGTTTGGGAGATGGAGATGCATTTACGATTGCGAAATGGAGATGCATTTACGATTGCGAAATGGAGATGCATTTAGGATTGCGAAATGGAGATAGAAAGAGCGATGTCTTCCTATCCACTTGGCTCACTTGGTCAGGCCAGTGGAGGGAGCTGGGCCAGTATCTCTGGGCAGAGGGCAGGGTCCTGCTCCTGAGGCTCTTTGTCCCCTCGGTGTCCTGGGAACATGAGCCTTCGTTGGGCTGTCATTATCTGCTCCTTCAGCCAGCACTTACACAGCCAGGGTTCTCAGAGGCTCTGGATGCCGGTGACCCTGCCCTGCTTCTGCCGGACCTTGGGGCCGGGTCCAAGCACAGAGATGGGTCGAAGCCTCCTGCTCCTGCTGCTACTGTCCTCACAGCTGGGCTTCCTGCAAGGTGAGTCCCTGGGGGGCAAGGGGCGGCGGCGGGGACTGAGGGGGCCTGGGGGAGTGGGGCGTCCCTTTGACTCTGTACCTGCCTGCCTTGTCCTGACTGACACCCCACAGGTCAGATTACCCCGGGAGCTATTCTCTAACTGGGGACATCTTTTTGTAGGGACACTTTTCAGTGCCTTTCTCCTTCATAACTTCGTCTGCCTAAACACTCTTCAGGTCTTCCCTTTGTTGCCCTTTAAGATTTCAGCTATTGGGTTATCCTGGGGCATCGGGATGACCACTCACCGCAGATTTGGTTCGATGTCAGGACCCATGAGGCCACATTGCACCCAGAGGGAAAGAGAAGGCTTTCCACTCACCTGCTGAGACTTGCGGGAAAGCAGGACTTGCGCCCAACTGGCCTCCCGATGGCCTGAGGAGCAGGGAAGGGAGACTGGCTTGGGATTGACATGGTGGTTGGGAGAGGGCCAGGGGCGTTCCTGCCCCCAGCAAGGGTCTGTGTGTTTTGAACCCCCCGCCATGCCACTGGCAGGTGTCCCCGGGCCCGGAGGTGAGGCAGAAGGGGTCAGACTGGAGAGCCGTCCCCGGTCACACATCATAAAATGGGGTCACTTTATCAACGGGAACAAACGTGGGCTTTCATAGCACTATGCACACTTAGATGGAATCGCAAGTTAGTCTTCAGGGGCTTCACCACGTTCACACGTGCTGCTGACAGGAGCCGGGCACAGCTTGCTGAGAGCCATGTAGGTTCTTCATCGCCTTCCATGCAAACTTCTATAATCCAGTCGTTCCACCTGCACGCACGCGCGTGTGCATCTGTGTGTGTGCGTGCGCGGGTGCTCACGTGGTAGAAGATCATCTGCACTTGACCCGCACAGAGAGACACACACACGCTACACAATTGTCCGAGCACAGTCAGGATAGAGTTAGCTCGTTTTCTGGTTATACTGTCACCACAAAAGACAGGACTTCATGTTCAGTGTGAACTTTAACGCTGAATTGATAACAGCATTCACAGAGGTCAGATGTTTGACCTTCTACAGAACACGTGTGCACAGCTTGTGTTGGATCCGAGGGCTGAGTGAGAAGTGGAATGATCCTTGGCATCACTGGCAACAGCTGCTTGCAACCTTCTCCTTCAGCCGGGGGGATCAGCCTGGGAATGGTCTCGTTGCTTTGTGGGTGCGCAAGCACCCGAAGACTCGGATATAAACGACGCCGGATGCATTGAGAAAACGCTCATTTGATCTAAACGAAAATTCATCCTCCTGACCTGTGTTCCCCCAGAAGCTGGATCTGAGGTCATTTGCTTGGACAGTGGTCCCAGGAGATGCCAGCAAGGGTGTGAGCCAGTGAGACACGGAAGGGAACGAGCTAGAGCAGGAGGCGTCCTCGAGCTAGATGCACGGCGGGCACGTGGAGCCCAGTCCTGCCAGGACCTTCTGGAGGACAGTGTGGAGCAGGCCCCAAGCTGTCCCAACTCAGGGCAGAGAGCTGGAGTGTCTAGCCACCGATTCCCCACCTGCTCTGGGGAGAGAGATGCCTCCAGGGGCTTTGGCTCTGTAGGACCCCAGCCCGCCCCACAGGCCCCAGTCAGGGTCTCAGGTGGTGCGGGAGCAGCCCGCAGCCTGTGCAGGTGAATCCGAGGCTGGGGGGCAGGGGGAGGCCCACTGCAGGGACTCCACCGACTGGTGGCTTTCTCCCCACTTCTGTCTCGCCCATCTCTCGCCCCGGCCTCTTGTATGCTGTCCTTCCTCAAAGTCCGTCATCCACACAGTGGCCAGAGCCTGCTTGCACAACACAAACCGGTTCATGCCTCGCCCTCTTCTTAAACCTCCGATGGCCTCCTCTCTAGAGCAAAATCCCAGTTCTTACGATAGCTACGGACGTCATTTTGAATTTCTGAGTAGACATATTCAAAAGGTCAGAAACACGTAGACGTAATTTTAATAATGTGTTTTATTGACCTTGAGAGATCTAAAATAATAGTATCAGTTGCACGTACATTACCAATGTTACACTTATTTATCAGCAAGTAGAAGAATTGTTTGTACCACCTGCCTGAAATCCACTTATGGCCCATTCATTTGGATTTTTTGGGTTTTTTGGGTTTTCTGTGCTTTTGTGTGTGTGTGTGTTTTATTTATTTTTTCTCATTGCAAAAAGGTGCTTTTATTAAAGCACGGGGACAGGACCCCTGAGCAAAAAGAGCTGCACTGGGGTTGTGAGGAGTGACTGAGTCTATACTTTTTAGGGAGGGGGGTTAGGGGTAGCTTCCGTCTCCAAGGAATTTGAGCATGTTAGAAGCACGGTCTCCAGGGCCCTGGAGGGCTAAGGGCTAGCTATCGTTAAGCTAGGGCTGCGTTTACTATTGTCTGTAAAACGCTAGTCTAGTCGCGAACCCCTTCAAAGGGGGATCAGCAGGCCTAGTGTTTGCAAGGTGATTGCTAACCTGCGGGGGGGGGGATTGTTAACGGTTAGCAGAGGGAAGTCTGCTGAGGAGAGCAAAGCTGTCGTGGTCACTCGGTGAAGGACGTCCCTGAGGGAGCGGCAGGGCTGTTACCCTCCGAGAGCCTCGGCAGCTCTGCCTGGAGGGAGACTCGAGCTACAGCCCAGTCCGGTCCCTGCTCGGTTCTCCCCTCACCTCCCCCCTGAACAACGTGGGCCTTTCAGTCTCTAAGGTTGCTGGGGGCAGAAGCGCCCACGTTCTGTAACTTCCTTGCTGAAGCAGGGCGCAGAGAGGTCCCTACCCCGGGGCCCTGCCGGTCACTGAGGATTTACTAGGAGTCCTGCAAGGCCGAGCCGCTGTGTGTGCAGGTGCTAAGGGACGGGAGTCTCCTCCGGTGCAGAGCGTCACCTGTGGGCCGGACCTGGTGGCCGTGAAGGCGTTTCGGCCCCAGGTGCAGAGACATTGGAAAAACCAGCAAAACAGGATGAGAAGAGCAAGGAGAAGGAGAAGCCCAAGGAAGAGTCCTTTGACGGTTGGCCGAAGTCCTGGGGCCCGCGCGTTTGGACCAGTCACAGGGCAAAGCTCAGCAGTCCCAGGGGGCAGGGCCCCGAGTGGCCGGCGCAGCCCTGAGAAGGGACCCTCGAGTCTGGCCCCTGGAACCTCTTCCAGCTCACTTCCTAGTTCTGTGGGCCTCCGCCTCTCCTCGGCCCCTGCTGTCCTTTCCCTTCCTGGGACGGGCCACTGCAGTTTTCTCTCAGGCTCCGCACTTGCCCCCGTGTGTCTTCCTGGAACCAGTGCCCAAGTCCTCCCAGGTGTTTAAAGAGTCAGCTTCTCTTCTTCCTTTAACTTGCTCAGGTGTGAGCTTATGTGACCCCTGAGAGGGCTTCTCTGACACCCCGTGTGACGGGCCAGCCCTAGGGGCTCCCACCTCACCAGGTCCCTGTGCTCAGGCCGCGCTCTTCCTCTGCCCCAGCACCTGTGATCCTTCTCCTCGCTTGTCCTTTGTCAGCCACTTCCCCCATGTACTGGCTGTCTTCAGGAAATAAGTGACATGCCTGTTTCATTCCTCCCTCCTGTCACTCTCTCCCCACCACCTGGGAGAGCGCCTCGCACACAGCAGGTGCTCAGTATTTGCAGAGGGAAGGCAGGGGCCAGGTGCTGCCCTCCTAAGGCTGGAGAAGAGAGAGGAGCTGGGCCTCTGGGCCAGACATCTGCAGGGACACCTGCGGCTGCCTGCCCCCCTTCCTTCTTCTCCTTTCCTCAGTCCTCCCTGGCTTGCCTCCTTCCCTCTCTCTGATCTCCTCCTACCCTCCTCCATCCCTGGGACTCGAGGGGGACCCTGTCAGTACTCGGGCAGGTGTGTCTCCCCCAGGTATGAGCTAAGCACCCTGAAATCCTCCGATTTCAGCTATCTCATCTGGTTTGGAACCTGGCCACTGTCCAGGCTGCCCGTGGCCCAGAGGGTGTGCTCCCTCCCGAGCTGGAGGAAGGCAGGGCCCGGAGAGCCTTATTAAGCCCGTTTTCACTTTCCAGCTCTACAGTGTTTCCAGTGTCAACGAATCAATGCCAGTGGGGTTTGCGAGACTGGGGAAAGTGTCTGCCAGGCTAAAGGCAACCAGCAGTGCTTTCTGAGGAAAGTCTATAAAGGTAGGTGGGCCTAAGAAGTCTCCTGGGTGACCTTTGTGTGAAGTTAGGTGCTAGCAGTGGGCGTTCAGGGTTGGGAGTGGGACCCCCACGGGACCAGAGGGAGGCGACTCTAGGACCCAGGGAACTGGGATCTTAGGAACCCTGGGAGTAACACCAACATAGGCAGGGGTTGATTTTATTTTTTTCGACTAAATTTGTGAATCTGTGTCATCTGGTTCTGGTACTTGGCTGTCAGCGGCTCCCAACTGGGCCAGTACCCGTAAGAGAAGAAGACAGCATCCTCTGTTAGCTCCTGGGGTGACAGGAAGGGCTGCTAAAATCCCACTGAGTAGAACTTGAGTGTGGTAGAGTTTTGGGAAACTGGAGGTGGAGGTAGGGGGAGAGCAGTGGGGAGGGTGACTAGGGCAATTTCTATTCACCCCTTCCTGCCCTCTCCTGTGTGGGGAGGGACTGAATCCTAGGACACAGAGCCCCCAGAGCTATCCTACAAGGGCCCACTAGGGGGCCCTATCTCAAATATCTCAATCCTGGGAGGCAGATACTCCTCCCTACCAGAGAGCAGGAGTCCTTGATGGAAAGTTCCATCTTCTCCTCGTTCCTTGATTAATTTTTTTAAAAAAGATTTTATTTATTTATTTGAGAGAGAGAGAATGAGAGAGAGAGAGAGCATGGGGGGGGTAGGGTCAGAGGGAGAAGCAGACTCCTTGCTGAGCAGGGAGCCCGATGCGGGACTCGATTCCAGGACTCCAGGATCATGACCTGAGCCGAAGGCAGTCGCTTAACCAACTGAGCCACCCAGGCGCCCCCCTTGATTAATTTGTTGATGCAATGACCCACCGATCCTTTCAGCAATATTGATTGAGCACTGCATGCCAAGATGTGCTAGACCCCACAGCCATGGGTCTGCAACCCAGGCTCTGGGGTCTCACTTACCCTCTTCTCTGTCTCTCTGTAGATGCCATCCTTTCATATGGATATCAAGGTTGTAGCAGTGTGTGTTCCCCTATGACAATCTTTTATATGGATGTTGCTTTGGAGGATAAATGTTGCAATGACTCACCTTTCTGCAACAAGTTCTAAAGATGGAGCCCAGCGTTGCCCTGACCTGATGGATAAAGCTGATTGAACACACTTTTCAACTCTCAGGATCCTTACAACTATTGTGCACTGACTATGGGCTCCCTATAAGGAGAAGTCATAGCTAGTTCTGTGCTAGGTCCAATCACCCTTTTCTCTCCCTCATTGTGAGATGCTACCAGGAGAGTCTTTAAAATCCAGTTGGCGTGAGGAGTGGTGGGCATGGGTAGGTCCAAGCATGCCTTCTTCCTTTCAAGGCCCTAATCACGAGTCATGCTTATTTTCATTTTAAAAAGGCAGGGTTTGTGGGAGACTGTGGGTTCTGTCATTCTGGGTGTTGTGGAGGCAGCTAGCTAAAGGAAGAAGGAGAGTCCTCAGAAGCTGAAGAGCATAAGGAATGAGTTGGCTGTAAATGATGTATGAGTTGGAGGGGGCAAGCTGTAACAAAAATCTCTGAAATGTTGGTGTCTTAAAATAATAATGAAAAATAATAAAAAAAAGATTGCTAACCCACCTCACAGTTCATCGAGGTGGTGGTGATTATTCAGAGATCCCAGCTTCTTTCATGCCGCCATCTTTAACATAGTCTCCAAGCTCTCTACAAAAGGGGAAGTAAGCATGGAGAGACACGTGGGGGCTTCTATGGCTGGAACTCAAAGTGTTGTGCATAATTTCTGCCTTCATTCCACTATTACTTGACCCCGAACAATTTGTAAAAAATGTAATCTTGTAATCTGGTGTGCCTGAGAGAAAATTCAGATGCTCTGATGAACACAGTGGATGAAGCCTGGTTCCTTTCCCCACTCTGCCCCTCACTGTTCAGGCTCCTCAAACAGTACCCACATTTGACCTCTGTTACAAAGGAAAGAATGACCCAGCGAATGGGACTACAGAGCACCATACACTGATTAAACGTAAAACACATATGACTTGACCAGATATTCCACTCCCACCCTTTCAGCCTCCCCGACATGGAGGCTGGAGCCCAGCGTGCCTCACGAGCCTCTCCGTGGGGTCTCAGAGCTCTCTTGCTGTGGGCCTCCCTGGGAACCCCTGTATTCCTGTCAGTGGTGTCATGTCCTCATTCTCCCCCAGCAGTCAGCCCTCAGGAGAACACTGGTCCCCCTGATTCTCCCTCACATGCTGTCCTGAGGGTGACCAGCAGCACTGGTGATAGTCCGTCCACACCAGAGACCTGCCCTGTCCACTCATCACTTTGTGGCAACAACGTCCCCACTTCTGTTCTGGCTCCTCTCCTCACAGGACTCTGTAGGGAGGAACAGCTTTGGGTCTCCTGAGTTTCTAGACTGGGAAAAGGCAGAGGAAGAAGAGGACATCCAATCAGCGTGTTAACACTAGTCTCATCCACACCTACACGTGGCGGTCACCATGGATGAGTAATCACAAATGGTGCTGCTACAGCATTTAAACAAAGGAGGAGTGTTTTGTACAGAAGTGACAGAAGAAAAGGGGTTTATACGCTCAGGGGGGACAAAATATGGAAAGGTAACTCTATGAAGAAAGCAATGGAAAGGCTACTTAGTGCAGATTGTTACGGAGATGCCTCAGGGCTGGTGTCTAGAGCTGCGTCCGGGGACCAAGCTTCCACCTGCCCTCCCTGGCGGAAAAAAGGGCGGACAGAGAGTTTTCCTTGTATCTGCACCTTAGAAATGACTTTCAACTCAAAATGATCCTGTGTCAAATGACATATTTTTGGGGTGGCAGACTCTGAACCCTTGCAACTCAAAACCATCCATGAGGGCTGGACAGAGTCAGAAATCTCACTGCTATCTCCATGGCTTCCTTCATCATTAGGACCCCGGCATGTCTCCCAAACCGCCTTCTCCCAGGGCTCCTCTGCACCTGCAAATTATTCATGAGTTTTGATGCGGAGGATGCAGCTGAAGGCATTAGCCGTGCGCCCCAGTTTTGGTCCGGGTCAGCAGATGACCTCGGACACAGAGGTTGGTTCAGTTACCTGGGCATCCTTCAATAGAAGCTGCACTCCGATGCTCACAGCACGCATTCTGGTGTGTCCTGGCCCTTCTCGGGAGACAGTTTTCTCATCCACTGGGAGCTTCATTTACTCGTGAAGTTTTCCTCCTCAGAAAAAGATGGGTTGTGACTTGGGTTATCACCTAGTAATGGTCTCAGGGGGGCTAGAGCTGCCTCTGGATTCATGGGTCACACTCAGACTCACAACTTGCCACGGGCTGGGTGGGAGGGTGGGTGTAGACACCCCTCCTCAAGGGCCAAACCATGTGACCCTTACAAGACTCTCTCCTCTGGTCTGAGTTGACAGTAAGAGTGGTGGACGCTTGACCAACTGGGCCTATGAATTCTCTTGCCTGGCAATTTCTTATTAGATGTGAGAAATTAATTTTCTCATATGGAGAATGACTTCACCAAAGCAAAGGGCCATTGATTCCAAACGTAGCCATTAGCAGCCCTCAACAAACTAATAGAAGTGGAGAAACAGTTTTGGGTGTTAACTGTGCCTTTATGTTCAGGGTTTCTGCTTCCTCAAAAAACCAAGAAGGACAAGGGAAGAAAACCCAAAAAATGGCCATGTGGCCACACCCATCCTGTTTGCACTGCCTGACTCACACCTGGGACAGCTGGAGAGCTTGTCCAGAGGCCTGTCCTGGGCCTCCCTTAGGAGCCTTCAGGAGGTGTCCATATCTGCGTGTCCCTTGCGGGTCAGCATCCCAGGCTCCTCCAGCTTCGGCTGGGGGGATTCTGCTCTGCTCCGTCCTGAGGGCAGCAGGGGACCTTATCCCTGCCCCTGGCCGGCCTCACACGTGAGCTCAGTGACCTGAGGATTCAGGTGGGGCAGGCAGAGGAGTCTTGGCTCTTACACAGTCACAACCTGCTGAGCAAGGCTGCCCCCTGCAGGCAGCCTCTGCGGGGAGGACACACGTTCAGCCTGGGCCCCTGTCCTCCTGTGGTGGGCGCAGGGCAGGCATCTGGCCCCATTGGGATTCAGGGGCTTCTCCTCCTTCCTGGGGGGGGGGGGGGCAAAGTGTAGCTAGTGACCCAGGAGGCACAGTTCAGTCTATGAGGTGATTTCGGAGTGCTTGGCTCATACCTGGGGGAGACACACCTGCCCGAGTACTGACAGGGTCCCCCTCGAGTCCCAGGGATGGAGGAGGGTAGGAGGAGATCAGAGAGAGGGAAGGAGGCAAGCCAGGGAGGACTGAGGAAAGGAGAAGAAGGAAGGGGGGCAGGCAGCCGCAGGTGTCCCTGCAGATGTCTGGCCCAGAGGCCCAGCTCCTCTCTCTTCTCCAGCCTTAGGAGGGCAGCACCTGGCCCCTGCCTTCCCTCTGCAAATACTGAGCACCTGCTGTGTGCGAGGCGCTCTCCCAGGTGGTGGGGAGAGAGTGACAGGAGGGAGGAATGAAACAGGCATGTCACTTATTTCCTGAAGACAGCCAGTACATGGGGGAAGTGGCTGACAAAGGACAAGCGAGGAGAAGGATCACAGGTGCTGGGGCAGAGGAAGAGCGCGGCCTGAGCACAGGGACCTGGTGAGGTGGGAGCCCCTAGGGCTGGCCCGTCACACGGGGTGTCAGAGAAGCCCTCTCAGGGGTCACATAAGCTCACACCTGAGCAAGTTAAAGGAAGAAGAGAAGCTGACTCTTTAAACACCTGGGAGGAGTTGGGCACTGGTTCCAGGAAGACACACGGGGGCAAGTGCGGAGCCTGAGAGAAAACTGCAGTGGCCCGTCCCAGGAAGGGAAAGGACAGCAGGGGCCGAGGAGAGGCGGAGGCCCACAGAACTAGGAAGTGAGCTGGAAGAGGTTCCAGGGGCCAGACTCGAGGGTCCCTTCTCAGGGCTGCGCCGGCCACTCGGGGCCCTGCCCCCCGGCACTGCTGAGCCTTGCCCTGTGACTGGTCCAAACGCGCGGGCCCCAGGACTTCGGCCAACCGTCAAAGGACTCTTCCTTGGGCTTCTCCTTCTCCTTGCTCTTCTCATCCTGTTTTGCTGGTTTTTCCAATGTCTCTGCACCTGGGGCCGAAACGCCTTCACGGCCACCAGGTCCGGCCCACAGGTGACGCTCTGCACCGGAGGAGACTCCCGTCCCTTAGCACCTGCACACACAGCGGCTCGGCCTCGCAGGACTCCTAGTAAATCCTCAGTGACCGGCAGGGCCCCGGGGTAGGGACCTCTCTGCGCCCTGCTTCAGCAAGGAAGTTACAGAATGTGGGCGCTTCTGCCCCCAGCAACCTTAGAGACTGAAAGGCCCACGTTGTTCAGGGGGGAGGTGAGGGGAGAACCGAGCAGGGACCGGACTGGGCTGTAGCTCGAGTCTCCCTCCAGGCAGAGCTGCCGAGGCTCTCGGAGGGTAACAGCCCTGCCGCTCCCTCAGGGACGTCCTTCACCGAGTGACCACGACAGCTTTGCTCTCCTCAGCAGACTTCCCTCTGCTAACCGTTAACAATCCCCCCCCCCCCCGCAGGTTAGCAATCACCTTGCAAACACTAGGCCTGCTGATCCCCCTTTGAAGGGGTTCGCGACTAGACTAGCGTTTTACAGACAATAGTAAACGCAGCCCTAGCTTAACGATAGCTAGCCCTTAGCCCTCCAGGGCCCTGGAGACCGTGCTTCTAACATGCTCAAATTCCTTGGAGACGGAAGCTACCCCTAACCCCCCTCCCTAAAAAGTATAGACTCAGTCACTCCTCACAACCCCAGTGCAGCTCTTTGTGCTCAGGGGTCCTGTCCCCGTGCTTTAATAAAAGCACCTTTTTGCAATGAGAAAAAATAAATAAAACACACACACACACAAAAGCACAGAAAACCCAAAAAACCCAAAAAATCCAAATGAATGGGCCATAAGTGGATTTCAGGCAGGTGGTACAAACAATTCTTCTACTTGCTGATAAATAAGTGTAACATTGGTAATGTACGTGCAACTGATACTATTATTTTAGATCTCTCAAGGTCAATAAAACACATTATTAAAATTACGTCTACGTGTTTCTGACCTTTTGAATATGTCTACTCAGAAATTCAAAATGACGTCCGTAGCTATCGTAAGAACTGGGATTTTGCTCTAGAGAGGAGGCCATCGGAGGTTTAAGAAGAGGGCGAGGCATGAACCGGTTTGTGTTGTGCAAGCAGGCTCTGGCCACTGTGTGGATGACGGACTTTGAGGAAGGACAGCATACAAGAGGCCGGGGCGAGAGATGGGCGAGACAGAAGTGGGGAGAAAGCCACCAGTCGGTGGAGTCCCTGCAGTGGGCCTCCCCCTGCCCCCCAGCCTCGGATTCACCTGCACAGGCTGCGGGCTGCTCCCGCACCACCTGAGACCCTGACTGGGGCCTGTGGGGCGGGCTGGGGTCCTACAGAGCCAAAGCCCCTGGAGGCATCTCTCTCCCCAGAGCAGGTGGGGAATCGGTGGCTAGACACTCCAGCTCTCTGCCCTGAGTTGGGACAGCTTGGGGCCTGCTCCACACTGTCCTCCAGAAGGTCCTGGCAGGACTGGGCTCCACGTGCCCGCCGTGCATCTAGCTCGAGGACGCCTCCTGCTCTAGCTCGTTCCCTTCCGTGTCTCACTGGCTCACACCCTTGCTGGCA